AGAAGAATGAGAATGGAGGCTTGGCACCATAGCTCAGTGGTTACAGCGCCAGCCACATACACTGCGGCTGGCGGGTTCAAGCCCAGCCTGGGCCTGCCAAACAACAATGACAACTACAACAACAAAAAGTAGCCAAGCGTTGTGGCGGGCACCTGTAGTCCCAGCTTCTTGAGAGGCTGACACAAGAGACTCGCTTAAGCCCAAGAGTTCAAGGTTGCTGTGAGCTATGATATCACAGCACTCTACCAAGAGTGACATAATGAGACTCTCTCTGTCTCAAAAAAAAAAAAAAAAATGAGAATGGACATTCCTTTTTTACGATTAAGAACCATTTGTAGTTCCTGTTCTGTGAAACCTCTCTTTGTATCCTTGGGCACATCCAAGTTATGGTTTGATGCATTCTGCCAAATAGCCCTTTCCAAAAGGCTGGACAGGTTGTACTCTGGCCAGTGCTGTGTACGCATGCCCATTCCCCACAACCCCCCTCCGAGTGATCATTTCACAAATGTGCTGCCCTCTGCCTCTCTCCTTCCTCCCTCTTTGCAGTTGTCTACCCTGGGCCACTAGGTTCTCCCACAACCAAGTCTGCCTTCTCCAGACAGCTTCTCTCTTAGCAGGTTTTTTCCTGTTGATGTTTAAGAGCCAGCTATGAACCAAAATACCGGTGAGACTCTGCAACTCAATGAATCCCTTCTCCAGGGATGCTGGTGCTTTATTCACAAGATGGACATTTGATGGTAAAATCTCAGGCACTGTAATAAGCCTGTGGCTCCTATGGAAAGAATGTCACTTTGATTATAAGGAGAGCTCTAATCTGCCATTGCTGGGACTTTCAGTAGCTGAGAAATAAAATCGTTGGGAAGTAGACTTGTTCTAGCAGGGAAATTCCTGAAGCGGCTTTGTAGCAGTAATATTTGCTGGGCCCTTTGAGAACCCTGAGGATTCTGTCTAACAGAGGGGGCATGTAGAGAGCTTTGTTATTCTGGAAGCTTTTGAATCTATTTGACTACAAATTTATACTATCATTGATGAATTTCCATTAGGAAGTCCTTTGGCATGAATTCTGTGAAGCTAATTTAATTTCTATATTGCACTGTTAACTCTATTTTCAATTTTCTTCCATTTTTATAATACTAAACTTATTTTGATTGCCTTCAGTTCTTTTTCATACAAATATTTATCCTTCATCAGCTCTTTGCCCACATCACATTCTTCCCCAATCACAGCATCTGCCATTGTAAATTTAAATGTGCCTTTTATTTTTCCTGTGTTGTACTTACCCAGTCAAATTTCCTAAGTTTTGTCAAGATTTGCTTCTCCTCGCATTTGGTGTCTCCCCATTTGCTGTTTTAGCATTTGTCAATAGTTGGTTTCAATTCATAATATTCAGAACCTACTGGATGAAAGACTAACCATATTTCTGTCTTAGCCAATCCATAAGAAAATGGGAGATAGTGTTCCTCGTGAGGTCTGAGACTGGTCTGATATCACCAGTGTCCACGTGTTCTCTTAGTTATTCTATACTAGAGCGGCCTCTGCCGTACATTTTATCCCAAGACGTGCAACCTGTGCCCTGGCTTCTCCCTGGACTATCTCCATCAGGGTCCAGATTTCGTTATGGCAAAATGGTGAGATCAGAGTATCTTGCCCTAGTATGAGGTGGGCAGCACCCCCTGGCAGAGGGAACAGCAGTGGCAAAGCCTGAGGCACATAACTAAGCCGAGTTGGAGGAGGGGGAGAGAAGGGCATCAGATTCCTACCAGGATCCAGCTCAGCTAGTGCCACTCTTCTCTCCTCTAGAATGCTTCAGACATGCCCGAAACAATCACCAGCCGGGATGCTGCCCGCTTCCCCATCATCGCCAGCTGCACGCTCTTGGGGCTCTACCTCTTTTTCAAAGTAAGTATTTTGCCACTTGTCTTGTCATTTGGTTTAAATGACTTTATTTTATTTTGTTTTATTTTTCCCATCACAGGAGCCATGCATGTTCATTTATAAAAAATAAAGAGCAGAGAAAAATTAATAATTCACCCATAATCCTACCCAAAGGCAACCACTGTTGGTGTTTGGGGCCCTTTCCTACCATCCCTGTTTCTTTTCTCCATGTAGCACGTTGTTCTGTTATCGTGATACCAGTTTGGTTTCATCGTACTGTTTATGTTGGGGTGGGATATAGCTTGTGTCTCAGACATACTGCTGTCATACTAATCACTTTTTTTTTTAATTTATCGAGGTTTATTTCCCCAATAAAAGTTACACAGGCTCAGTGTTGAAAACCTGGAATACACAGGACAGTATAAAGGGAAACACAGAAATCATCCAAAACCCCACTACCAGAGACAGTTACAGTCTCCCTTTGGAGGTGTGTCCTTCCACTCTTTCTCCCTGTGCATGGTCTCTCCATAGCTGTGAGCACATGGTGTATTCAGTGTGGAGCTGCTTTGTTCACTGCACATTAATAACTTCATAAGCATTTTCTCATGTTACTGCAAACTCTTCTCAATATAACTGAACTGTTTTCTGGATTTTCGGAATTATAAAAGTTAATATATACAGAAAACTTAAAGTATATCAAGAGAGGGACAAATCTCACCATACGGAGGTATTCACTGTAAATATTTTGGCATATATAGACTTTTGATAAGCATAAATTTAACATTATAATTTTGTTATAACTATAGTATTATATCATTTGTTTGGGTTTTTTTGGAGACAGAGTCATATTTTGTCAACCCCAGTAGAGTGCCGTGGCATCATAGCTCACCACAACCTCAAACTCTTGGGCTCAAGTTATCCTCTTGCTTCAGCCTCCCGAGTAGCTGGAATTACAGACCCGTGCCACTACGCCCAGCTAGTTTTTCTATTTTTTGTAGAATGGGGTCTTAAGCTCTTGCTTAGGCTGGTCTTGAACTCCTGAGCTCAAGCAGTCCATCTGCCTCGGCCTCCCAGAATACTAGGATTACAGGTGTGAGCAATGCCCTGCCTCACTTGTTATTTTTTTAATAGTACATTATGAGTGCTTTTTCCTGATCATTGAAAATTCCACAAGACTAAGTTTAATTTATATTTTAAAAATACATGTACATGGTTAAAAAATTTTTTTCAACCTCAGCAAAGGTACAAATAAATAAGACACAATCCTTTCCCCAGTATAGTTTCTATTGAATCTTTTATATATGTAGATGTGTACTGTCTTAAAATATTTAAATATGTAAAACATGACTCTTACCACAAAGGTATTTTTGTATCAACACAGTCAAATCTACCTCATTCTTGTTAACGCTATTCACAGGTCTGTTTTACAGTGTACCTCTGAGGATATTTATATGGGTCCAGTTTTGAGGTAACAATAGTATTGCCATGAATATTTTCATGCACATATTTTCTTCAAGCATATTTTAGGATTACCAGATCAAACAGCATCTACTTTTTTTTTAAGAGATGGGATCTTGTTCTGTTGCCCAAGCAGGAGTACAGTGGCATGATAGTAGCTCACTGTAGCCTCCAACTCATGGATTCAAGTCATCCTCTCACCTCAGCCTCCTGAGACTACAGGTGCTTACCATCACACCAGGCTGATTTTTCTTTTTTTTTTTTTTAAGAGGTGAGGTCTTACTGTGTTGTCCAGTCTGGTCTTGAACTCCTGGCTCAAGCAGTTTTCCCGCCTCAGCCTCCCAAAGTAGTGGGATTGCAGGTGTGAGCCACTGTACCCAGTCTGTAACTCATTTCTACTTAAATAGTACCAAATTGCTCTCTGAAAGGATTATACCATTTTATGTTACCACTAACAGAAATGTGCTGGGTTGCCCAGACCCTCACCTACATTAGGTAGCACCAAAATTTTTAGTGTTTACCAGTCTATGAGTGAATCAAAAGCATGATTTTTAACACCTGTTTCCTATTCCTTAGCTCCCTCATTGTTGGATCAGAAATACTCCTTTCAATAGTTTTAAAATATATAGCACAGTTGATTTATAGCATCCCACTCACTTAAAACAGAAAATGTCATTCTGATGTTTACTCTTATAAATAAGAGTGTATTAAATAATACTGAGTAATCACTGATTTTTTTCCCCGTTTTTTCTGGATCTGGGGTGAAGAACTGAATTTATCCAATGCCTTGGTTCATAGCATACCATCTTCAGTCCATGCTAGGATCCCACTTCCTTTTTCCCCCTTCACCCCAATACCCAGTTCCATTTCCCACCTTCATTTCCCTCTCTGCCAGAGATGCCTGCTCTAATGTGTTTGATTTATGTCCTTGGATATGTGTGTTTTTATAAATAGTGTTGGTGTATCTGTGTGTATCTGTGAGAGTTTCCTTAAATAGAACTGTGCAATGCATCTCTCTGTTTCCTTTCTCTCCCCTATACTTCTGAGCTCTCTCTGTGGCTCTGTGTACATCTAGCCCATTGCTTCTAGCTTTGCTTTTGGCAGATATTTCTCAAGTCTCTGCTGTGCTAAGCACCAGGAATACATACCCAGTCCTTTGCTTTAAGACCTTCTAACATTTTTAGTATTTAGGATTCTTTCCTTAAGCCAGATGTCCCAAATAGGAATTTCTGGCAGTAGTGGGTGTGAACATTTTTATTTAAGGCACTGGCTTCCTGTTGCTCAGCCTCTCCTCCTCTCTGGGCAGGTAAGCTGCAGCCTGCCCTGTGCAGAAGCACAGAGTGTACCTCTTCTCTCTGCCTCTAGATTGTCCATGCTGAGATTTCTAAAAGGCAGCTTCCTGCTGAACAGGGCAGCCCCTGGGCTCCTCTTGCACTCCAGCCTAATGGCTGGTTGGTTGGTTGGTTGGTTGGTTTTGCTTAACTGAAAAACAGCCTACCACAGTAACTCCTCCTCAGCCCCTTCCCTCTCCTCTTCCTGAGGGGGGCACTGGAATACATTTTTAACACTTTATATTTTCCTGATGCCTCACCATCCCCACAGATAGGCTTGAATGCCCCACCAGGCAACAAAGTATACCAGTGTGATGAGACTGGTCCCTGCCACAGCTTCCCCTTCTTGCCCCCCCCTTACTGTGGCCTAGACTACATACAAGTCAAGTAAGTCCCCTGATGCCTTTTGCTTGTGTGCTGCTCCCTGACTCTCAACAAAAGCACTCCCTCTCTAGGTCTTAGGAGTATGACAGATCCTTTCATTGCATAGGCCTCTCTGAGGAACTTGCCACCTGAGCTTAGAATGATCCCATCCTCATCCCCAGTTGTGTTGGAGATAGGGGAGTAGTTCCCCTTTGGAGTCTTCAAGGATCACCCAACACAGCCATGGAAATTATGCTCAGGCCTATGACACAAAAGCATTTATACTCAGAGGTCCTAGAGAGGGAAGCATGACACGCCACACAGGGGCCACATAGGAGGAGCTCTGAGGGAGCAGTTCAGCCAGTCAGGTAGAGGAATGACCCATGGGTGAGAGCCTTTATGGCATAGGCCATAGGTGTGGCTCTGACTTTTTTTGCAGCCAAAGTACAAAGGAAAGTGAGACTTGCTGTCCTATTCACTTGGCCCATGCAGTCAAACCAACCAGAAGCTTAAAGATGTGGCTAGAGAGAGATTTTTCCCAAGGGCCCACATTGAAAGAACAGTATGAGAGGTACACATCTTCATGAAGAGACACAATCCATATCCCTGTTAAATTAATTCACAGGCCTATTTCTTGTAGCATTCACACAGGCCTCATTCAAGCTTTATGCATTTATTCGGTGCCTGCTACTTCAGGTCTTGTGCTAGGTTCTGGGGACACCAAAGTGAGAAAAACAGCTAACCATCCTTGCCCTCAAGAAGCATCCATTAAGTGGTGGAGATAGACACCAATCACACAGATAGATGTGAAGGCAGAGTTCATACAGCCCTAAAAGTCTAGCCGGACTAGCCTGGGGTAGAAGCCCCGCTCTTGCCCAAGCCTTCATCCAAGATGACAGCTCCTCCGTCTGCCCAGCCTCTCAGCCAGACCCCAGGAACCACCTGTGCCTGCCTCTCTACCCTTATATCCAGCCCCTCCCCACATCGTGCAGCTTCAATCCCAGAACAGATCTGGAGTCTTCCCACTGCTCATCATTTCTCCTCCATGCCCCAGTTGAGACACTGTCTCCCCCTGCTGGGTTATGCAGTGCCCTCACTGGGCTCCCTACTTTCAGTCCTGCCTTGCAGGGTCTCTCTTTCACAGCAGCAGAGGGGTTCTTTCATGCCAGCTGGTCATGTCATAACTCTGCCCTAAGCCCTTGGCACCAGCCTATCTTGCCCAGATGAACCTAAAGTCTTCCCCAGGGCACTATAGGGTCTGGCACCCCCTTACCACCCAGCCTCATCTCCTGATACATGGCCCTGCTCCCTCTGCACCAGGCTCACAGGCCCCACTGGTCCCTGCACACATGACCATGCACACACCTCAGGGCCTTTGCACCTGCCCTTCCCACTGCCTTCTCTCTCTCACGGTCTGCTCCCTTACTGCATGGAGGGTTCTCCTCCAGTGTCCTTTCACCCCGAAGCTTTCCCTGACCTCCTATTGAAAGTAGCAGTTCTCCTTCACTCTACCCCTTGCTCTGCTTTGCTGTTCTTCTTAGCCCCTAACACCACCCGACAGAATATTGGGTGTAATTGTTTCTGTTAAGATTCTTCCCCTGTCCCGGCACGTGCCATCTGTGAGGGCAGGCACTTTGCCTCACTCCTTGCCATAGCCCTAGTGTTACCAGAATGCCCTGCACATAGTGAGTAGTCAGTAAATATGTGTTGGATCACTGATGGGTGGCCATGTCAAGGAAACTGTGAGAGCTAGGAGCCAAGAAGCCTCCATTGGGGTGGCCTAGGTGAAAGGAGAGGCAGACATCTCATTCAGCAGAAATATAGGCTATAGCTATATAGGCTGCCTGTGGGTGGAAATGTGGCACAGACAAGGTGCTGCAAAAAAGGCCAGTGTGGCTGCAGCACGTGGAACAAGAGAAGGTATATGAGCCAAGGCTCAGAAGAGCTGCAGTGGTCACCACAGTGCCCAAGAGAGACCAGCAGGAGGGTGTGGGCCTTTAGCTTATGATAGCAAAGGAAAGCCCTGGAGAGACTTGACATAAGACAGTGACATGATCAGACAGGCATTTAAAGAGATTCCAAAGAGCCCAGCTTGAGAGTGGCTAAACCTGTATGCCCCATGCAGCAGCACATCATTCAAGTTAGACACCATCACAGTAGCACATTGAGCAGACAATGCAGCAAAGCCATATGGCATAGCCTTACCAAAGTCCAAAATTAATAACATCCAACAGTCGAATTGGGAGCATCGTAACAGAGAATATTTCTCAATTTCACCTAACAATAAAAAAACAAGAAACAGCTGACACGGCTACTGTCTGTCATAACTTGCAGCCATTACTGCAGCAGGAATTATCAGAAGGGTAAGGGTGTGGAAGACGGAGTGAGGCATGTGCATGGCTTGTAACTGGCAGGCCTGGAGCCCAGGGCGCCACTCTGGAGGAGCTGCCTGGGGTTTTGAGCAGAGAAGGAAACCCGGGAGAGCAAATTCTGAGATTCCAACAGCTTTCTTGGGGCTCTTCAGGCTTCCCTACCCACCCCTAGTACTCCCGTATAGGGCACAAACACAATTACTTACCTGTCTCCAGGTAATGAAGCCACCAAATATAAACCTACAGACTCCCTTGGGGTACTTGAGGTTCTCCCCTTTTTTCCCCACAGCTGCCATCACTACAAGGCCTCTAGTATTTTATTGTCTAAGACTCTTCCTCACCCCAACTCCAGAAGGGTGAGACCAACCTCCAGAAGAGAAGTGGGGACTCTGGTTTCCTCCTAGCCCACCAGCAACCCTGACTTCCTGTTTCTCTTTGTATTTTTGCCTCAGATATTCTCCCAGGAGTACATCAACCTCTTGCTGTCCATGTATTTCTTCGTGCTGGGAATCCTGGCCCTGTCCCACACCATCAGGTCAGAAGGCACCTCTCTGCAACATTTGAAGCAGCTTTCTCAGGAGCCAACACAGGGTCTTGGATGAGAACATGACCTTTGCCTTCACTCAGAGCCAGGTTTTGAATCCTGGCTGTCAAACTCAAGGGAATCTCTCCCATGTGTCAAACTGTAGGTGACCAGGACAAGACCTATAACCTCTCTGGGCCAGTTTCCTTATAGGGAATAAGAGTATCTGGTAGGTGTTTTCCCACCACCACAGTTATTAGGAACATTATTTGTGGATAATAATTCCCGGTACTGAGGTGAGTAATCCCAGTGCCATCTCTGGTGTTGTTGCCTTCCACGCACCATGCACTGTACTCGGCTCCTCACACCTGATCTTATTTCATAAGGAGAGTGAGGCTGTGGTGAAGTTGGGAATGCAGGCTCTGGAATTGGACTACCTAACTTTGAATCCAGACTCTGCCACTTAATAGCTCTGTGACCTCAGGCAAGTTACTTGATTTCTCTGGCATCAAATTCCTCACAAATGTGGAAAAAATTAATAGTACTGTCCTCATGAGGTCATGTGAAAAGCTTTTAGCACAGTATCTGGCACTTAATGTGTTGGGTAAGCATTAGCTGCTGCTATTACTGTGTTAACCTGCCAGATGACATGGTATCATTAGCTTTTGCTTTTAATCCTGGGGTAAGTCAGCGAAACTGAAGCTCAGAGAGGTTAAGAAATTTGCTAGGATCACACAGCTTATAAGCAACAAAGCCAGGATTCAAACCCAGGTGTAGGCCCAGAGCCCATCCTCTTCCCACTGCCACTCTGCTCAGATTGCCACACACTGATGTGTTACAGTGGGGATGAGTATAATAGTCCAGTGTTCCTCGGGGAGCTGTTAACAGTGTTTTAGCCAGTTCTCCACTGTGTGGGACTATCCTGGGCATTAACAAACATTTGGCATCCTTGCCCTGCTCAACCAAATGGGAATTGTGCCACCACCCTTCCCTGAGCTTGTGTCTACAAAGATGTCCCAGCATGTTTCTGTCTACCCCCCTTTAAGTCATACAGCCTCAGGCTGAGTACCACTAATCAAGAGGTGGCCAACAGACCAAGGAAAGTTCCTAAAAGGAAGAAACTTGACTTGAACTCATCTTTGAAGGGCAGGAAACCTGGAAGAGGTATCAAGTGGAGAGAAGTCAGGCCAGGAGCTGGAAAGTTTGTGCACATTGAGAGCACAGCAAAGTAGATGACAAAAGGCTAGAGAGAAGGAGCAGAATGTGCTCACCAGACTTTGAATAGCGAGGTATGACCTCAGTACTCCAGGCATGCTGGCAGGACACCATGGTAGTCAGGAGCATGAGCTCAAAGCAGGCAACCCCAGGACCAAGGCCCTGCTTGGCCAGCTTTATATTATGTAAGACATTCAGGGGTTTTTGTTGTCGTTGTTTTGTTTTTGGGGTTTTTTTGTGAGTTTTTTTTTTTTTTTTTGAGTCAGAGTCTCACTCTGTGTCCTGGAGTTGAGTGCCGTGGTGTTACAGCTTACAGCAACCTCAAACTCTTGGGCTCAAGCGATTCTCTTGCTTCACCCTTCTTAGTAGCTGAAACTACAGGCATACGCTATTACACCCAGCTGGTTTTTCTATTTTTAGTAGAGATGGGGTCTCAAGCTCTTGCTCAGGCTGGTCTCAAACTCCTAAGCTCAAGCAATCCATCCACCTCAGCCTCCAGAGTGCATGAGCTACTGCATCCAGCCTGACACTCAGTTTTCCACCTATAAAATAAAGGGACTGCAAGTAACTCCTCAGAAAGGTGTAGGAAGAATCAAATGAGCCTCTCTAATATCCCCAGAGCACACAGTGAGTTGAGTGGATGACCCAAGGTTATACAGCTAGAACTTCAACTCTGATCTTCTTATTGAGGTCAGTTTGTCCTACACCAATCCTTCACCCCCAAAATCTTACTCTACCTGGCTTGGAGAAGCCCTTCAGCCTGTACAATGAAGGCCCAAAGTGACTTGGGCTAGCAAGATAGTCGCAGACCCAGTCTACCTTGCTCTAAGGACAGACCCATCTCTTGGGGGACCTCGGGTGGGGTAGGGGGAATCACTTCAGGCACTGGATCCTTCCTTTCCTATAATGATTAGCATCCTCTACCCAACTCTAGCCCTTCGTACCCCAGCATCTGTGAGAGGCTTGAGACCCCCAGTTCTCCCCACAACCCAGCCTCCATCTCAGATTGAAAGAACCTAATGTGTTTTCTTTCTTTTTTTTCTATTTTTTTTTCCAGTTTTTTTTTTTTTTTTCCGGCCAGTGCCGGGTTTGAACCAGGCACCTCTGATATATGGGGCTGGGGCCCTACTCCTTTGAGCCATGGGCACCATCCTTTTTTCTCTTTTTTTAAAGACAGACTCTTACTCTGTTACCCAGGCTAGAGTGCAATGGCATCATCATAGTTCACTGCAACCTCAGAATACTGCACTCAAGCCATCCTCCTGCCTCAGCCTCCCAAGTAGCTGGGACTACAGGCCACGTGCCATCTTGCTGGCTAATTTTTTCTGTATTTGATAGAGACAGGGTCTCTTGTTCAGGCTGGTTTCAAACTCCTGATCTCAAGCAATCCTGCCTCAGCCTCCCAAAGTGCTAAAATTACAGGCATGAGCTACTGTGCCTGGCCTCTAATGTGTTCTGAAAGCCAGTCTTAGGCCATGTGCTTTATCTCAACAACTTTACAAAAGAAATCTTATGTCTACCCAACTGTTCAAGCAGGGTATTTTGAACTTCTATGATTTTGACACACAGACCTTTTCTTTCCTCTTAGAGCAGTAACTGAGGAATATTGTTCCAGATTTCTCATAGATTAGCTAATAAACAATTGTCTGTCTTTTAACCAATTCATAATTTTTAGAGATAGACGTCATCAACAGAAAATAAAACCAATAGCAGCTAAAACTGCACATAGTGAAATTTATATGTTAGTGATTAGAAACTAACAGAATAATTATTTTCTTAATGAAATTCAGAGCAAGAAAATTTGACCTGGGAAAATTATACCTCACAAAACTAAGGGGTGCTGTTTAACCTGCTAACAGGGAAGGACAACAATGTCCACTGAAAAATCTGATGGGGACCAAAAACTGTGGGATGAATGAAATTGCTACCATAAGATTTACATGGAAAAGAATGGAATCTGATGAAAACAATTTTAGTAAAGCATTATTTTATCGTACTTTTTAGAAAGTTGATCCAAAAATTAAATTGACTTTTCTTTTTCAATTAAATTGAATTTTCTTAAATATTTTCTGAAAGAAAGTCTACAGTGTTGTTAGAATCTACAGGAGCTGCTGATATCTACAAACTTGGGAGTCAAACCTTCTTCAGTATCCAAACAAGGTCCAAAGATTCAAGACGGGGAAACTGAGGCTAAGAGGGTTATGGGATTCTAAGGACCACCAGGATTCACAGCTAGTAAAGGCTGAGTGAGGTTTTGAGCCTGGGTCTGATTCCAAAACTAGTATTCTTTACAGTTGGGCAAAAGTGAAGGGGAAGGAGCATTTATAGAGGGTGGGCTGTCCACCTTCTCCCGTTGGACCTCCAGTCTCCTGAGGATTGGCAGAAGAGAGGCTGCTGAAAGGCTATAAAGAGCTGTACCTGAGCTGAGATTCTTTTAAGATCCCCTTCACCTCTTCTACCATCCCCTAGGCCACTTCAAGCCCCTTTAGGAACAAACCAACTTGGGGTTTTGGAGGAAGGCAGGGACCGCGGTACAGTTACCAAGACTCAAGCCCAAGCAAAATCCCAGATACCTTTCCTACCAAGGGAACCTTGGTTTCTTTTCATCACCTCTGACTGAGCTCATGTCCCATATAGCTGGCCTTTAAGGGGGAAAAAGCCCAGAGGGCTCAAATCTGCCACCCCAGGAGGAGGAGGAGGCAGCCACATCACCAGTTTCACTGACCTTTGCCTTCTACCCCCAGGGGAGAAAGGTACCAGGACGTAGTTTCTCTGTAGGAAGCAGTGACCTTTAAGTTTAATGTGAGCCATCAGGGGACAGAAAGAGTCTGCCTGCTGCAGAAAGTCTTCAGAGTTCAGCGAGCATTTACCAGATGCCTCCCAGGCACCTTCACCCCCAGGTGCAGTGAAGACGATGAGATGGGGCGCCTGCCCTCCATCCACAGGCTTCTACTCCCCAGGTCACTTGCCTCTTCCCCTGTGTTATCTGGCAGCCCCTTTTTTCTTGAAGTAACAAAGACATCACTCTGGAGACTTTCTACTTAAAACTGCCTTACAGGGTGCCAAGAACTCATTTAATTCTTTTAGTAACCCTACAAAGAAAGTACTGTAGTGTTCAGATTGGAAATTGTTGCATAAAGCCATTAAGTGACTTTTCCAATGTTACAATGCTTGTAAGTGGCAGAGCTGGGATTTGAACCCAGGGACCATGTTCTTAACCATCACACTCTGCCTATTGAGAAACCAAGCACCAAACTAAGGAAGAGGCCAGCTAAGTTGGGTGAAGGTCTTAGCTCCTCAGGCTGCCTCTCTGCCTCTGCCCACACCTATACACACACTCTGGCTTCAGACTCCCCCAAAAGTGATTCAGCGAACCAAGCTGAAAGTAGCTTCAGCTTCCAGCCTCTGCTAGCTTCTGCCTGCCACATCTCAGTACACAAAGCCCTCTCATCATTCATACTACAAGCCCCACAGGGGTCAACTGTTTGACAAGTGGGAAAATAGAAGCCTAGAGATGGTTCTTGAATTCCTATCTTTCTCCAAGCCATCGAGTTCCTCAAGAGTCCTGCCTAACACTGTGACCTAGGTACTTCCTGGCCTGCCTCCTGTCAATTGGGAGGATCATTCCTGGATTTGCCTAGCACACTAGTAATTATCAGCCTGATCTGATGTTGCAAATGCATTCAAGCTCAGGCTCTAAAGGAATGTGCCACAGGCAGCACAGTTTCTACTTCTGCTGCAGGCCGCGTGGAGGGCTGAGCTGCTCACTTGCCTTCTCTTACCTTCACAGTAACCCTTTGATAAGGTGGTAGTATTATTGCTACATACAAGTGAGGAGTGGGACACTGAGCTGCTCTGCTCTTCCAGGGCCAGACAGCTGGTGCATGACACAGCAGTCTTCGGGGCTGAGCTCCCTAAGCTTGTAGCCACTCAACAGTACTGCTGGGAGCAGCTATACTGAGAGGCCCTGGTTTGCTAATCTTGCTCTGATGATGATCAAGAAAAGAATGTCTCCATTCTGGCCCAACTGGGAAGTAGGGCATACTGGGTAATCAGAATACTTCTAGAGGTGAAGCCAAACTTGAGCAACAGAGGCCTTTGTGGAAGAAGTGAATGTGATAATGATCCTGCCCTGGGGGCTGAGATTCATCTGACTGATCAATTCCAAGTCTCAGGCCTGTTGCTGGTGAACAGAATCACAAGTCACCAAGTCGGGTGGAGGTAATCATCAGTCATTTGATTTGACAGAACTGGTATATGCTTCTTGACAAGAGATTCATACAGGTGGTGCATAGGCCAGACTTTAGGATCCATTGCTTTCCCCAAAACTATATTTTACATGAAAGTCTGTCTACCACTGGTTTGCATTTTTTTGGTGGTTACAAAAAAGGCAGTTGGTGGTACAAGGCTAAGAGTGGTACAAGCCATTTTTTTGGTGGTTACAAAAAAGGCCGGGCGTGGTGACTCATGCCTGTAATCCCAGCACCCTGGGAGGCCGAGGCAGGTGGCTTGCCTGAGCTCATGGGTTCAAGACCAGTCTGAGCCAGAGCAAGACCCTGTCTCTAAAAATAGCCCGGTGTTGCGGCAGCGCCTTTAGTCCCAGTTACTTGGGAGGCTGAAGCAAGAAAATCGCATAAGCCCAAGAGCTTGAGGTTGCTGTAAACTGTGATGCCACAGCACTCTACCAAGGGCGACAAAGTAAGACTCTGTCTCAAAAAAAAAAAAAAAAGGCAGCTTGGAAACCATTAGGAGTTCAGAGACATAGGTTGCAGCCTCATCTTAGACATTGGCTCCTCGTGTAACCCCAGGGCAAGTCCTTAACCTCTAAGGGCTTATTCCACATCTGTAGCAGAGGAACAATAACACTTACCTCTCAGATCAGCTGTGAGGGTGCCAGGAGATAACAGCTATGAGTGTTCAGGGGCAGGATACTTCAGGGCTGTGATTGCCACGGGGGCTCTGTTTGCCGACCTGCTTTATCTTTCCTTCCAGCCCCTTCATGAATAAGTTTTTTCCAGCCAACTTCCCAAATCGACAGTACCAGCTGCTCTTCACACAGGGCTCTGGGGAGAGCAAGGAAGGTCAGTGCTGCCCACTTTTCCCCTATGGTGTGCCATGGGTATCTTCTGCCACCATTCCCTTTGTCGGAGTCCAATATTAGGGTTTTCCAGTAGAGCAAGTGATGGAAGAAGTGGGTTCTGGGATCTCCAGGCCTGAGTTCACATCCCAGCTCTTGCTGCTACCTAGACACAGGATCCTGGGTAAATGCCTTACCTCTCTGAGCATTGGGTGTTTCTGTTAGGTGGTGGTTATTTTTAGATTACATCTATGAAATGAAAATGATAATCTGCCTCCTTCATGGGCATTTTGTTAAGACTGCAAGTAAATGATAAGTGAAAGCATTCAGCACACTGCCTGGCTTACAGTAAAGCACTCAGTAAAAGCTGACCTTTGCAACTAACTATTTTTATTGTGTTTACTTTTAATATGATTACTATTCTTCCTAAGATTTGGAAAGGGAGCTCCACAATTCTTAAAAAACAGAAACTATGGGGAATTAGGAGGAGCCTAGGATTTATGGGTCAATTAGAGTACCGATTCGAATGCTGTAAGGATTATCAGTGGTGGCTCAGTGCCTGTAGCAGTGGTTAAGGCCCCAGCCACATGCACCAAGGGTGGCATGTTCAAACCCGGCCCAAGCCAATTAAACAATGACAACTGTGACCAAAAAAAAAAAAATGGCCGGGCGTTTGTGGCGGGCGCCTGTACTCCCAGCTGCTTGGGAGGCTGAGGCAAGATAATCACCTAAGCCCAGGAGTTGGAGGTTACTGTGAACTGTGCTGCCGCGGCACTCTACCGAGGGTGACATAGTGAGACTCTGTCCAAAAAAAGGAAAAAAAAAAAAGATTATCAGTAGCTCAACCAAGTGGAAGATACTCACTCTACCCGGTGCGTGGCATATTCTGCCTTGTCCCCTAAAGAGTAATGACTTTACAGTTATTGCTTTTTGCATTTCTAGTGCATCTATGCCAAATAAATGATTTTAGAGGTTTATAAAGAAGGCTAAACTTGCGGCCACAGCGTCTTCAGAGTTGCAGGCCCCTTCCGTCTCAGGTTCCGCCATGCTGGGGGAGGTTCCGCCATGCTGGGGGGTGGTTCTTGGATCCAGGATGGTGACCACCACTCGACAGTCCAGCCAAAGAGAAGAAGAGGCATCTGTGTTCCAGGCCATTTCGTTACAAAGGAGAATCTGGAAAATGGCCGTGAGTCGGTCTCATGTCCAGTTGGAAATAATCATCAGAGCGCGCCCCTCCGTAATTTTCTTCCGGCAACCAAAATTGTGTCACGGCTTGTTCTCCAAGTCCCGCCCTCTCAGCAACCCCCACTGGACAGGACTCGATAGTTTGACGAAGAGTGGGTAGAGTGCCCACGTGACGTGGCATTCGTGTTCTCCATGTCCCGCCCTCTCAGCAACCCCCACTGGACCGGACTCGATAGTTTGACGAAGAGTGGGTAGAGTGTCCACGTGACGTGGCGTTCGGAAGACCGGAAGTGGTCATATTTCGTAGGCCGTAAAGCGCGCTGCCTATGTTCAGTTTCCGGTTAGCGACAACGGCATCAGACCGTCAGCGCCGGCTTCGGTGTAGGGGACGCTGCCCAACTGTGCTGATTCCGTTTCGTTCCCTTTCCGGGCCTTTCTCTGCCGTCACCCTTTCACCTTGGATCATGTTCAAGAAATTTGATGAGAAGGAAAATGTGTCCAACTGCATCCAGTTGAAAACGTCAGTCATTAAGGGCATTAAGAACCAACTGATAGAGCAGTTTCCAGGTATTGAACCATGGCTTAATCAAATCATGCCTAAGAAAGATCCTGTCAAAATAGTCCGATGCCATGAACATACAGAAATTCTTACAGTAAATGGAGAATTACTATTTTTTAGACAAAGGAAGGGGCCTTTTTATCCAACTCTAAGGCTACTTCACAAGTATCCTTTTATCCTGCCACATCAGCAGGTTGATAAAGGAGCCATCAAATTTGTGCTCAGTGGAGCAAATATCATGTGTCCAGGTTTAACTTCTCCTGGAGCTAAGCTTTACCCTGTTGCGGTAGATACGATTGTTGCGGTCATGGCAGAAGGAAAACAGCATGCTCTGTGTGTTGGTGTCATGAAGATGTCTGCCGAAGATATTGAGAAAGTCAACAAAGGAATTGGCATTGAAAACATCCATTATTTAAATGATGGGCTATGGCACATGAAGACCTTTAAATGAGTCTCAAAAGGAATACAGTTGGGGGGCTGAATATGGTTTTTGTACTTTATGTGTTTGTGTATTTATGTGACAGCATGAAAACAATGCCTCTGTGGTTATGCTAAATAAATTTAACAATTTTAAGGAAAAAAAAAATCAGGGTTCTTTTACCACAGAGGAGATAACAGAAACTGGGGGACAAGCAGCAAGCAACCTGCTACACTCTGGAATCTGAAAGGAAGAGCTACACACTGACTCTGGGCAAGTTCCACCTCTTCTCTGGGCTTCCTTATTTGGAAGTGAAAAAGAATGGGTCTAAGGATGTCTACAAGAGGGCCCCCCACAAGATCGACCTCAGGGACTCCTTCCTGCCTTTTTTCCAAGTCTCCATTTCTTAACCACCTTCCTCTGCTTGTGAACTAAGAGCTGCCAGCAAACTTCTTGATTCCTTTGGTGGCAAAGTAGAACGGTTCCAAAATGAACTAGAACCTTGCTAAAGACCTGGGCTCAATGGTAGCTGGCATTAATTGAGCACCCACTGTGTGCCAGACACTGTGCTGAGTGCATTGTAAGAACTGTCTTACTTAACTCCACAACAGCTCCATGAGAGAGGTACTATTATCCTCTTCACAGATTAAGAAACAAGCTCAGAGAGGGAACTGCTTTCCCAAAGGTTACCCAACCACAGCTACAAGCGACAAAGCTTGTGCTTCTAACTCTAAGGACCACCTGCACTGACCCTGCACCAGGCTTGTATTCTCTCTGGGCCTCAGCTCCCTTCTCTAGGAAATTGGAGGAATTAGGGGTGACTCCAGTGAGCTCCCCACCCTCCTGAAACTCCACCACTCTGAAGCAGATGAGGCTTAGCCCCCCAGCCAGTGGGCTTCTGACAGTGCCCACAGTCATGCTGTCCTACGTCCAGGGGCTGACAGGTGGGAGGGGTAGCCCCGCTTTGGGGAGTGGACTTACCTGGCCTCTCTGCTCAGAAATCGTCAATTATGAATTTGACACCAAGGATCTGGTGTGCTTGGGCCTGAGCAGCATCGTTGGTGTCTGGTACCTGCTGCGGAAGGTAAGTAGCCAAGGCATGGGCACAAGGGGAAGCTGGGTTGATGGGGCAGGGGCAGGGCACAGTGAGCTGGTCTCATTCTTGCCTTTCCCCAGCACTGGATTGCCAACAACCTTTTTGGCCTGGCCTTCTCCCTCAACGGGGTAGAGCTCCTGCACCTGAACAATGTCAGCACTGGCTGCATCCTGCTGGGTGGACTCTTTATCTACGATGTTTTCTGGGTAAGTCAAGCCAAGGATATCCAGCCCCAGAGCCCCCTCACCTTCCTACTCCCCTGCCTGACCCAAGTTGATATGGTATAGAGCAGCTGCCTCGGAGTAGAAGTCAGGATCCCAAAGCAGTTCCTCTCTGGACCCATCTGTGAAAGGCAGCCCAGAGAGAACAGACTCCACCTCTTAAGAACACAGTCTGTGCACAGTGCCTTACAACTACTCTCATGTCTTCCTCATGGTGGCCCTAGTGGGGGCATTACTTAATCTGTGTCTCCTCAACATGCAAGCTGAGCCTCACAGAAGTCCAAACAGGGGAAGTAGAAGGCTAATGAATGAACCCAGCAAGGGCACTAATCTGGGAGGAAGAGGCTCTCTGTGCTCTGGCTGCACACCAGCCCTGGGCTAAGAGACCTCTCATACTCTGAGAGGCATTGCAGAGCCTGTCTTGGGCACCTGTTCCCCAGCCCCAGGCAGCCTCTTCACCCCTTGAGTGAGTGGTGCTACGGGACTTTATCACTTGGGAGGAGTGGAACACTGAGCAAACATGGGCTGCCTGGCTTGGGCCATTGGAGGTTTTTCTGTACTCCACGTTTCCCCTTTGTTGCCCTGAACCAGTATCAGATCACTATCTCACCTCAACTTTAGATCTTCACTGGAGCTTTTGCAGCTCCCTGCCCTTCTCCCCACAGATCTCAGGCAGTAGCACATCTACAAGCCCAGGAACAGCCATTCTTTCCTATCCATCATTTTACTTCCTTCCATACTCCTCTCTTCTCTTTCTAGGTATTTGGCACCAACGTGATGGTGACAGTGGCCAAGTCCTTTGAGGCACCAATAAAATGTAAGTGACCACCCCCACCATGGGGAACCTCTCTGTCCACCCCAGTTGACCCATGTGCACATGGCCCCTGTTTTGTGTTAAGTGCCTCTCTCCGGTCTTCCCCACATGCCTCTTCTTCCATTAAGCTTTCTTATATGCCTCCAGCCTGGTGTGCTTCTCGGTGATTCATCTGGTTATATTCACAAGCAGGTATTCCCTACCCACCCAGGCCCTAGCCTCTGGCCCCTTGGTCACAGGGCAGCATGGTGTGAAATGAGCTGGAATGGGAGCAAGCGTGGAGGGGAGTGTATTTAACCCAGGCCAGGGTGGGGCACACGTAAGCTTTCCAGGAAAGAGGACCTCTGCACTGAGACCGGAATCTTCCCTCACTGGGATCCCCTCAGCACTTGAGTATTGGGTGCTATCTGCCTTACACCTGCTTTGGTTTTGTTACTCAGGATCTCTGTTGTTTATTGTTTAGAAAATCCAACTACAGGTTGAGCATCTCTAATTCAAAAATCTGAAATCCAAACTGCTCCAAAATCTAGAACTTTCTGAGCATTGATAGGACACAAGTAGAAAATTCCACATATAAGTACTTAACACGGCTCGGTGCCTATAGCTCAACCGGCTAAGGCGCCAGCCACGTACACCTAAGGTGGCGGGTTCGAATCCCCAGCCCGGACCCGCCAAACAACAATGACGGCTGCAACCAAAAAATAGCTGGGCGTTGTGGCGGGCGCCTGTGGTCCCAGCTACTTGGGAGGCGGAGGCAGGAGACTCGCTTGAGCCCAGGAGTTGGAGGTTGCTGTGAGCTGTAATGCCACGGCACTCTACCCAGGGGGACAGCTTGAGGCTCTGTCTCAAAAAAAAAAAAAAAAAAATAAGTACTTAACACAAACTTTGTTTCTTGTACAAAATTATATGGTGCACACCTGTAGTCCCAGCTACTGGGAGGCTGAGGTGGGAGAATCACTTCCTGGGAGCCCAGAAATTTGAGGTTACAGTGAGCCATGATCACACCACTGAAGTTCAGACTGAGTGTCATAGTGAGTCCCTATCCGTTAAAAAATAAGTGAATAGGGCAGCGCCTGTGGCTCAGTGAGTAGGGCACTAGCCCCATATTACTGGAGGTGGCAGGTTCAAACCTGGCCCCAGCCAAAAACTGAAAAATAAATAAATAAGTGAATAAATATAATGTATAAGATTACTTATAGGTTATGTGTGTAAGGTATATATAAAACAGAAATGACGGTGGTATCTGTAGCTCAGTGAGTAGGGCACCAGCCACATACACCAAAGCTGGCGGGTTTGAACCTAGCCCAGGCCTGCTAAACAATGACAACTGCAACAACAGCAACAACAACAACAAAAAAGCCAGGTGTTGTGGCAGGTGCCTATAGTCCCAGCTACTTGAGAGGCTGAGGCAAGAGAATCACTTAAGCCCAAGAGTTTGAGGTTGCTGTGAGCTGTAATATCACAGCACTCTACCAAGGGCAACATAGTGAGACTCTGTCTCAAAAAAAAAAAAAACACAAATGACTCAGCACTCTGGGAGGCCAAAGCAGGAAGATTGCTTGAGATTAAGAGTGCAAGATCCTGTCTCTACTAAAAATAGAAAAATTAGCTAGGCGTGGTGGCAGGCACCTGTAGTCTCAGCTACTCGGAAAGCTAAGGGAGGAGGATTGCTTGAGCCCAGGAGTTTGAAGTTGCTGTGAGTGTGCTGAGGCCATGGCACTCTAGCATGGGTGACAGACAAGACTCTGTCTCCAATGAAGAAACCTTACATGAATTTCCTGTTTAGATTTAGGTCCCATCTCCAAGATTTGCAAATATTTCTGAATCCAAAATAATCTGAAACGTTTCTGGTCCCAAGCATTTCAGATAAGTGATACTCAACTTATTTAAGCATCATCAAACAAGGGGGCAATTTTCTTATCTTATTCTATAATAAACCTAGGGGTAGAAGGCTAAGGATTGGCTTGATGACCTTCACTGGAGTCACTAGGAGCCAAGATCATTTTAGTCCTCCCACACACCACCATTCTCGGCATGTCCACTTGTCCTTTAGTTCATCCCTTCATGGTTCTAAAATGGCTGCCACAGTCCTTAGCATTGATTCCTCACACAGCTGTGTCCAGAGGCACAAAAAAAGCTGTCTTCTTTTTCATTAGGGAGGGATGGTTTTCTCTAAATCCCCCATGTAGTCTTCCTCATATTTTATTGGCAAAAATTGAGTCATAGGCCCAAGTCCAAACCATTCATGAGTAAAGGGGATAGGAAAGCATGATTCACTTGGAGTCCAAGCCTCAGGGTAATCAAGAATCACCGTCTGAGACCACAAGGCTGAAAGAGGGTGACAGAATCAGTCATGCGTGATAGCAAAAAGAAGAGGGAGTCACTATTGGAAAGGCAGTCAGCAGTGCATGAGTCATGGTAGTGGGCATTCAGGGAGAGTCCTCTCAGGGAATCAAGAAACAGTTGTCTCAGTCCAGGTGCAGGGGCTCACACCTATAATCCTAGTACTTTGGAAGGCCAAGGCAGAAGGATCTCTTGAGGCTGAGCAAGAGAGAAACCCTATCTCTACTAAAAATAGAGACATTAGCCAGGCCAGCGAGCACCTGAAGTCCCAGCTACTCGGGAGGCTAGGGCAGGAGGATCACTTGAAGCCAGGAGTTTGAGTTGCTGTGAGTTAGCCTGATTCCCATTTTACTCTAGCCTAGGCAACAAAGTGAGACTGTCATTAAAAAAAAGAAAAAGAAAAGGAAAGCAATAGTCTATTGCTAATTCTTGGAGTCTCATTCTCTACCACTCCAGACAGGTTTTCTCCATGCATTGGGGCTGGTTCATGACCACAAACTGCTTCCAAATTCTGTGGCCCCAGCTCAATGATCCCAGAAGAAAACAAGTTTCGGCTCGGCGCCTATGGCTCAACCAGGCTGGGGCGCCAGCCACGTACACCTAAGGTGGCGGGTTTGAATCTCCAGCCCAGACCCGCCAAAACAACGGTGATGGCTGCAACCAAAAAAAAAAGCCGGGCGTTGTGGCGGGTGCCTGTGGTCCCAGCTACTTGGGAGGCGGAGGCAGGAGACTCGCTTGAGCCCAGGAGTTGGAGGTTGCTGTGAGCTGTGATGCCACGGCACTCTACCCAGGGGGACAGCTTGAGGCTCTGTCTCAAAAAAAAAAAAAAAAAAGAAAGAAAACAAGTTTCTCCTAGCTTTGAATAAACCTGCATGGCCTAGCCTGGCTTATGAGCTAGACACTCCCTCTGGGGAGAGGGAAGATCATGATGGACAGGCCGGGGTCATGGCCCTCTCTAGTGCCTGGGGGCATAGTGTTTGAATTGGCAGGCCCCCAGAACCAGTATAGAAGGGGAGGGCAGTTGTCAAGTAGAGAAGGGAACAGATGCTGGGCAAGCCAGAACAGTTATTCTCCACATGCTTTGATGGATGAGCCCAGGGGGATTGGGAGCACAGAGAACTCAGCCAAGGTGTCAGGAAAAGCTTTTCTGGGTCATGAAGGATGAATATGCATTTCTCAAGCGTGCAGGAGCAGTATGGGCGTTTGAAAGAGAAAGCGCAGCTTCAGCAAAGGGCTGGAGGCAGGAAAATACGTGGAGGGTCTAAGATCAGAGAATCAGGGAAAGAATGTGGCCAAGCTCAGAGGAAGAGCAGCTAAGTTCTAGGGGAATCGACTGGAAAAAGGTAGGCAGAGGCCAGAATTGGGTAAGCCAAGAATGTCATGCCAAGTAGCTTGGACCTCTTAGGCCTTTTGGGAACTTTTGGCCTGTTAGGCAATGGATCAGCAGGGAAATGACACACTATCTTACTTGATTTCTGATGCTTGGGATCTGGTTTTTTGAGTTGAAGAGAAGGCCCATTGCCTTCTAATGCTAGTACTGGAATCCAAAGGTAGAAAAACAGAATAAGTAAGTGCAGATATGCTGAAATCAGGCCACCTGGCCTTGAATCTCAGTCCTGCCACTTGCTAACTATGATGCTTTGCGGAGGAGACTTAACCTCTCTGAGCCCTGGTTTCCATGTCTATAAAATGGAGACAAGTCTTTACCACTCAGAATTGAATGGTACTAGGATTGAATCCTGGTACCAGGATTGAGAGGATCCACTGAAGAAATCTGCAAATCATTGTACACTGCCCACTTGAAGCCTGAAGAAGCTGGCAGGGTAAGGGCATCTACACATTTATTAGGGAAACACATATTTACCCAGAACCTGTAGTGTGCCTCTGTGTACATGCTGTTGGCCAGAGGCTCATCATAGGACCACCCCTGGCTACAAAGGAATCAGGAATTCAGAGGACAGGAATGTCCTGATTGACTTAGTCTGATACCATATGTGATCTTCCCCTGGGAAGGCTACCCCAGAGAGTCAGGACTGGGTTAGTAAAGGAAGGCGTGGGATAGCATTTAATGTGTACAGACCATCTAATCCTCACCAGAACCCTGTGGGATCAGTCTGTTGTTCTAACTATGTCACAGGTGAGAAAACTAAGTCAGTCCTGTTACAGCCACCTTCTGCTGTGACTGGACACAGGGAGATGGTCCTCCCTAGTCTGTATTTGTTATCCAAACAGTCTGTCCAGCAGGATGTCTGAGTGGAGGCTTTAAAATGAAATTTGCAGGTATGTGTCCTGTTCTTCCTCAGTGAATACAGAAGGAGCCTATAGGCCAGGCTTACCCTGCTTCAGAGTAAGAGCCACCATCTGTCCATACCCCTTTGTAGTGCGATAGAAAACCTTTTAGGTATCAGCACTGTGTGGCTCTTTTCTTTCAATGTACTGGGCTTTAGGGTCAATCTCATTTAGCCAAAAGGTTCTCTACCTACAAAACAGCCTTGAAATGGTATAGTATGTGAGTTACAGTTCAAAAAAGGCATTAAACCAGGCCGCGCCCGTGGCTCAAAGGAGTAGGGCGCCGGTCACATATACCAGAGGTGGCGGGTTCAAACCTGGCCCCAGCCGAAAAAAAAGGCATTAAACCTTCAGTCTAAATGACTTCAGCCAGATTCCTCCTCACTCTAACCAGCTGTGATTCCAGATGGAGGTATTGCCCTTCTGCCTGTCTGCCAACGTCCTCCCGCCTCCCCATCGCAACTCCCACTCAGAAACACAATGTGTGGGTTTCATACACTAGAGGAATAGGACCCAGGAGTTAAGAGTAAGCTGGGCTCCACCAGGCTCCTCACATCCTTTCCTCCCCTTGCAGTGGTGTTTCCCCAGGATCTGCTAGAGAAAGGCCTCGAAGCAGACAACTTTGCCATGCTGGGACTTGGGGATATCGTCATTCCAGGTAAGCTTGCTGGGGTACAAACCGTAGTGTAACTGATGGAGATGGTAGCCTCTGGAAGAGGGGGGATTACTCCAAAGCAGACAGCTTTACTACCAGGAAAGGGAAAAAAAAAAGAGGAAGGCTTAGGCTGAGTAATGCCAACACCTAACCCTGGGTCAGGCCAGGATGTGGTACAGGATTGCACATCAATACACAGTTACCAGGTGCCAATCCCATGCCAGGCCCTAAGCTGGGCCTTGGTCAGATGGCAGTGAGCAAGACTGTCCTCATGGAGCTTCTCATCAAGGTAAACATTATTAAAGAACTACACAGTAATATTAGACATGACAGACTGAAATATGCGCTGAAAAAGCACATTTTTAAGACATGCCCCCTTCCCACATTTTACAGATATTCTGGAATGGCCATCCATAGCCTCCTTGCTCCCCCCACCCCACCCCCGTGCTAAAAACACACTGTATGTGGCACATGGCTCCTATGTCTGCACTCTCTGCAGAGGGACATGTGCATGCACACCTACTTGTCTACACAAGCTGGCCTTTGAGGCCCCAGACCTACATGTAGATGCCAGCAGGTGTGCCTATGTGATATAGGCACAGGAGCCCCATCCATAGTCCCAAGCATGGGCATACATCCCACAGCCTTGCCTCACCTTGGGGCACCAACTGCTCAAGCAATCAGTCAAGAGACCATGGGCAAAGCTGAGCTGCTACTCTGAAGGCAGCTGAAGTGGCTGAGGCTTGGCAGAGGTGGGCCCAGTGATGGGACAGTGAACACCCAGAGGGCATACTTGTCTTCCTAATTTTGGGGTTAAGGTTAGAATAGGGTGACCAGGCTCGGCGCCTATAGCTCAACCGGCGTACCTAAGGTGGCGGGTTCGAATCCCCAGCCCGGACCCACCAAACAACAATGACGGCTGCAACCAAAAAATAGCC